AAAGGAATTTGATATAATTTGGAACACTTCAATCTTGTTAGTAAGCACAGGATTCTGAGCTGCTTCGAGTTATGCACAAAGCTTCAGTGTTCCTGCACCTATTAGTGCAATTAGTTTTCACTCTGCTCACTCCTTTCTGCAGAAGCTCTTATACTAATAAAAGCTCCAGATTCAGTGGCTTTAGAAAACTTCAAATTAAAGTTTTAAGAAATCAGAATCTCCATTCTCCACAGAATATACTTAAATCCAGAATTCTCTTGATTAACTACACTTACTATTTTTTTCTTTTCTTCTTCTTCTTAATTAGTCCACTAGAACATAAATTCAGCATAATATTTTATAATTCAATTCTAAAATAGTGAATGACAATAAACAGTTGCATAGTTGTCTCTCGTGTGACAGGTATGAATATAATTGAGTAAAAAATACCAATAGACACAGGCAAAGTTTAGTTATTTTAAGGTAGGTAAAAAAAATAAAATCTATGTGCATCCCAAGGTGACTTCCCAGAGTGGGAAATGTAATCCAGCAGTATTTCTTCTCAGATGCAAGCTGCCCTGGCCTGTCCAGGAAGGTAAATGGATGCAGGCAGTCTTGCTAGTTCCAGGTGAGGATCATGTTATCATGGCTTTCAAGGATGTCACTTCCATACATTTCCAACTCTTCTGGAGAACCTGGTTATATATACTATTTTCCAGGTACAAATAACTCGTATCAACTCCAGAATATCCCTGAGTACATCAAAGGTTCATTTCCCAGGCATATAATCCCTGCCAGCAGATTTTGCCTGTATGCCTATCTAGGGCTTATTCTTGCAAAAATAATAATACAGGCTATCTGATAATGTTTTTAAATTGATAAACATTCTAACTTTTATAGTAATTTTTTTTTAAGAGACAGAGTTTTATTCTGTTGTCCAGGCTGAAGTACAGTGGTATGATCATAGCTTACCGCAGTCTTGCTCAGTAAAATCAGGCTCAACCGATTCTCCCCTCTTAGCTTCCCAAGTATCTGGGACTACAAGTGTGTACCACAATATATGGCTAATTTTTAAATTTCATGTAGTGATGGGTCTTGCTGTGTTGCTCAGGCTTGTCTCAAACACCTGACTTCAAGCCATCTTCCTACCCTGCTCTCCCAAAGTGTTGAGACTACAGGTATGAGCCACCATGTTCATCCCAATTTTTTTTAAATTTGAAAATAATTTCTTTTTTGCTTATCTTGGATGATTGTGCTACATGTAAGAAATAATATGGAATATAAAAAACTAAGTTATTTCATATATGTAGACATACATATGTATATATCAATACACATATTTTATATCATCCTTAACAATTAAGTCCATCATTGCAGCTAACAAGCTATGCTTTATATATTATGTATTCCAAGCATAATATATTTTATAGCTATTCAGTAAACTTGTTGAGTAAATATAAGACACAATAACACACAAAAAGAAGCATGCCTGGTTTGCTAGTCAATTGTTGCATTGCTATAAAGAAGTACCTGAGACTGTCTTATTTATAAAGAAAATAGGTTTAATTGGCTTACAGTTTAGCTGGCTGTACAGGAAGCATGATGCTGATATCTGCTTCTGGGCAGGCTTCTGGAAGCCTACAACCATGGCAGAAGGCGAAGCGGGAGCTTGCACATCACATGGTCAGAGTAGGAGCAAGAGAGCAAGCTGGGAGCTGCTGCACATTTTTAAATGGATAGATCTTAATAGAACTCACACTATCCTATCGGGTGACAGTACCAACGGGTAGTGGTGCTTAACCCATTCATGAGAACTCCCCCACAAAGATCCAATCACCTTTTACCAGGCCTCACTTCCAACACTGAGGATTACATTTCAGTATGATATTTGGTCAGGGACATAGATCCAAACTATATCACCTGTTTTTTATTACCTAGGTTTCAGGGATATCTGAGGATTTGCTGCATACAGATTTCTCCCTTAAGATGTTTACTGTATTGACAAATTCTGGAACTGCCTATTTTATACACAAGCACACACATTTATGTATAATTTTATCTGTTTTGAGACATGAAAGAATGAAAAAGAGGTAGTAATAATAAATAAGTAAAACAGTATTTTCAAGACATTTTTTACTTTCTTAGTTTTACTTGTGTCCAGTTAAACAATAACCACTCAAAAAAACTAAAGGAACACAGAATGAATTGTATGTAGGACATTGATGAGTGTAGATCATCCATCCCTAAAAGAAAATACTATATGTATGTATTTCCAGGTGGTATAAATAATGAAACCCTCCACTTAGGGTTCTAAATATCCAAATGAGATTTATTCTTAGCTAATGTTATGTTTAAAAGAAAGCATTATAATTTATAAAATTATAAACTTTATAAAAACTTTTTGAATTACTTACTAATTAATTTGCCTCTTGTAAAAATTTGTACATGTGAGGGACAGAAGCCTAGAGATACTTTAGTACATTTTATATCCTGTTAAGAGTAACATAGTCAGCATAATGAAATAATTTTATTAATTCTTGTTCACATTGCTTATTTTTAGAAAGCAAAAGGTTTTATTTTATGACTTTTAACTTCTACAATTGCTAGTTGCCACACAAGGTATGGACCAGAATATGAAGTTGAAAGTACAAGTGTTTTGAAAAAAAAAGTATCCTTAAATTAAACCTAAAATGTTTCTCCAGATAAGACTTCAAAATACAATGTAAAGTTTTAATAATATTTTAAATATTTTATCCATTGCTTAATTCATTTCCATTTTTTGGAATGGTAAAACGATTATTTTTTGAATATTTGGCTCAATTTTATTTGAAGCAGCATTAGAATAGCATAATTTAATATAAAGATAGTATATATATTTATTTATTCATAGTATTATCATAGTATACCTAGAGCTACTGAACAAAACTAAAACAACTTTCTAAACAAAGTACCTGATTGCTTGAATATTGATTAAATACAAGTTCCATTGGATTTTCAAATATATATTAATATACATTTTTTCAAATACATATTAATAAGAAACTAGGATATGCTTGTCTCCCTAAAGTATTTTTATGTCTGTATTATATAAGTATACTTATAAAACCAAATGCTATAATTTTATTTGATAAACTATAACATTTTATTTTTAATATAAGCTGTTTTTTAGTTTCATCTCAAAGCACTATTAAAGTTTTTAGTAACTTGAGTATATTTCCAAGTATATTTCCTTGAAAATTAACTGGAGAATATATATATTGCATTGAATGTCACTTTTGCTGTTAAGGTTCCACCATGTATATGCACATTTGTTGTACCTACAATTAATGAGATGATATTTCTGTTAAGAAGTATAGGTGTGTCTGGGGGAAATAGGGAAGGGACAGCAGGGGTGGGGAGTTGGGGAGAGTTTGCATGGGGAGAAATGCCAGATCTAGGTGATGGGGAGGAAGGCAGCAAATCACACTGCCATGTGTGTCCCTATAAA